AGCTTATGCAAGAAAAAGTAATGTTATGTAATCCAGTGTAACAGATTATGTGAGATTGTGTTCATGGTAAAGCGGAATTTATATGCATGGTTTAGTGTTTCATGTTCACTCCTTGGGTAATAAATCCATTTTCATTAATGATGTAATACAAGAACCCTGATACGATACCTGTGGTGGAATCCTCAGGGCATGGAGCAGGTCCATTGCCAAGAAGAACAACGATAGAGGAATCTGAAGCTATAAATGAACATTTGAAGCGCAAATGTTTGATGCCACATCCAGCTTCCTCACATATGTCCTGCTAGCATATAGACCACCGGGACTATGTGCATCATTCACCTACATTCTGGTGTAGTAAAAGCTAGTAATAGTCATCTGTCTCTCCTTGACTCCACCAGCTTGAACTGGTCTGTCATCACTCATCATCTCTATGGGCTGACTGGGTGTGATTTTCAATAAAGTCCAGTCTTTTAGAAGTCATATTAATTTTCTGTCCAGGATGAGCTACTGAGGGCTTAAAAACATTGCTAAACGGAAGCATTTTCTAACCTTTCTAGCTACAAAAAAAATTAACGTATGTGTTTATGAATAGCAGGTTACATCATTTTAAAGGTGCCATAGAATGTGGTTTTTTCTGTATTTTAAATTGTTCTCTGGTGTTTACATTGAAGGTACCGTCAGTCCTGCTGCACCACGTGATATTACACCTTGAATTTGAATCTGACACGATTGCAATATTAGTACCCACGTCCAATACATCACGAAATTTGCATTTGTATTTGCGTGACATTCAGTTGGAGAGAAAAGCTATAACAGGACAAGAAACACTACTTGCATGAAAAAATGCCTATCCAAAAGAAGGGTATTGGTGTCCGATTCATGAACAAACGGTTCTGTTCAGTTAATCGGTTGAACCAATTTTCAGATCCAAAAAAGAACTTTTCGCATATCCCCGCATTGCACAGGTCAGTCTAAATATTCTAAAAAAAATACTAATTACCATATAAAAACACACGACAACGTTTTTAAACTCACTTAATTTCCTTTTCGTCAACTGTCTGTTGCCATGTTGACTTCAGTGCCCCTCCATATACCATAATCTGTTGTATTTGTGCTTTTATTTAAAATGCATATTGTTACAGTTTTGGCTGCTGTCATCACTGCTTCTATTATTTATTGGTGTTATTATTATTGCTATTATTATTATTGGTGTTAGTTACTGTTTTGGAGTCCGATTCCCCAAACCCTTTTCCCATTGGATATGTGTATTTTAGTACACAATTGAAGTGAATCTGAGGTTTTTTAGGAACACATTAGTTGAGTTGGAGCAGGACTGACTGTATTTGTCTGAATGCATCAATCCAGGTCATGGCTTGTCAGGACTTGCCCAATCTCCTGCCAAGTTCTCACCAGTAGCTCCACACATGCTCTTGTGTTCAGAAGACTAAGGCAGACTGACAGCGCTGCCCCGATCCTTCCTTCTGGCTGGGGCAAATGGTCTGGTTCTTCACAAAGAACCTCAAGCTACCTATCCGTTGTACTGTCACTCCCCACAGGACGGGCTCCCCTGATTGCCCCGATTGTCACCTGCACCTGTTCCTACTCATTATATCCCAACCTACCCTCACCCTCAGTGTAAAGTATTGCTCCTTCTATACACTTACTGAGTAATTTACTCTTGTCTTACATCTCTCTAGTTCCCCATTTGCCTTTGCTTCTCCTACCCTCAATCATCCCCGCTACCCTTGTAATTACCCTGTGTGTTTCTCTCCCGGTGTGCCTGTGTAGGACTGATCTTCCCAGATATTGACCCCTCAGAAACCATGACTCCGAGAACAATCTCTACTTGCCAACTTCATTTCTGGTGCCTGATTTCCCTAATAAAAACCGATTTCCCCGATCTATGGTTCTCTGTGCTTTTGTCCCTACAAGGCGTGACAGCTTCTGCATTCAATATTTTTGACTAGTATCGAATAGTTATTTGTTTAATTAACCAAATGTAGGCTACAGGCAGTATAGAAGCCTCTTGCCAATGTCAGTATCACGGACTTTGTAATGTTGTTTACTACTTTCCTGCTAACCCAAACTAGTAGGTTAGCCTACCAGTTATAAATAACCTTACATGAATGGCTGTCAGTATATATTTTTTTTTCCCACCAGCTACACTTGTGGAAACTGTGCACACATGCCCCTCGGGGGAGTAGTTCTGTAACAAGCTAGGATTTTTGAATCAGCCCATTATACCACCTTCTTTTACATATGCTGAATTTAAATTTGAAAGAGGGAACAACAGTGTTTGAGATTTACAGTGTATCTGTACTGGACTCTCCTTAGTCAGCTATGCTGAGGCAAAGTCAGATTTTCATTCTGTGGCACCTTTAATTGTTGGCTCTCAAGGACCATGGATTGCACTTCTTCCCTGCAGCAGATTGAAAACAAATGCAAATTGTAACTTGAAGGATTTAATATGCCCATATTGCAACCATTCTAATAGCTCTCCCTGGCTGAAATAAAGGACAGACTGCAATTCTTCTGCTTAGCCAGCACTAAAGGGCAAAGCATCTGCTGAACCGGCCAGCATGTAGAATCCAGAGCCTCCTCTGAGATCACTGACTGCAGGCCTCCTTGCAGTTCCTCACATAAATTAAAAGGCTGTTGGCAGTGGAGCTGGCTCATGGGAGTTTCACGTACACAAAAATGTTCTGAGGGCAGAATGAAAAAATGATTGGTTCAGAGAGATAACCAATCAGATTGCAAATGAGGTGGGTCCAAGCAACTAGAGGAGGCAGGAACAACACATCTGATTGGTTGGTCCACGTAGCAGGATTCTCTATACCCAGGCCAGGGTTCATGCTGAAGATGCAGATGGACATAATCATAATCAGAATCTTTATTACTACACAGCCAAGGCTGGTGGCAGTCTGCGTTAGGAGAGCTTGCTACAGTTGGATAACAGATCACAGGCAGAGCTACTGGTTAGTAGTGGACTGAAGACTGTTATGCAGACTGTTAGGCCAAAAGAGACCTGATCTATAGAATGTATGCCAGTCCAAAGCATATACATGCACACATGAAGTATTTCACTATGGGCAATTTAGAGCAACCTGCATGAAGGCAGAGCAAACCCGACACATGAAACTTCGAACCCCTAAATTTAGCGGGGTGAGGTCATCATGCTTCCCATTCTGCCACAACTGAACAGTTTCCATAACATAAGGCACAAAGCAGGGGACACCCAGGATGGGATGTCAGCTCATCCAACACACAATTACACTCTAAGGGCAAATTAGAAAAAAAAATTCACATAAGATGTGTGTCGGTCACATGAAAGGACATTTTCCCTGTACTTCCATATGGTAATATGTCATTATGAGCATTTCACCCAGATCTCGGGCTAAGTGCAGGATCTCTGTCCCATTGCAACCCTTCCTGATTGTGAATCTCTGAATGTGCAGTCTGTTTTCCCAGGAAGAGAACACGTCACAGACCTGCTGTCTGCCACCTGTGGAGCTCCCCGTGCAGAACCTCCTGATTTTTCCAAGTGGTGGGTAAGTGACAGTATCTGATGCTGCACAAGACCTTCCATCTGTTAAGACAGTGGCCCCTTAAAAGATCGTGTATCTCCTGCCTGTAGGTTAATTACCGACATTCCCAAATATATATGTATAGCGACCCCTGCATACGTGATCTCATGGTTATCCCAGAGGAATCGTGAAAGTTAAATAATGTCACCAGGTATCTTAATGTGTCTCCTAACTATCAGAGGTCTTTTCTTTCTTTGTTTAACAACCCCCCCTTTTCACATTCCTCTGTCAGCCCTTATCTGATCTTTGTGGTCCGTTAGCACTTCTTTGTCCTCTACTATTCTGTGTAAAAGACTGAATCAATGTGTATGTTATCAATCCTGGAGAGCAGATCATTGGAATAAGTCACACCAACCAAAATATGTCGTTTCCAGATGTGTAAATGAAGAAGTGCGGTTTCAATGTGAATTTGCAATGTAGTGTCTGTAGAACTTACCCAAAGTAGCAACGCCTATTGATGTGCAACACAAAACACCTATACTGTATACTGATGTGATTCATTAACACACATAATGTAAGAAATTGCTAATTAATTAATACAGATGGTATGGTGTGACCCTCCAGGCTGGTTTGGCATGTTTGGTGTCAAACTGATGGAAAATCACTCCTGAATTCGAATCTGGTCAGTGTTTTCTCATAAAATTGTATGTATCAAAAGTTACACCCGTTTAATGAAAATCATCAGTAAAGTGGCATCAGTCTAGCCGTAAATAGCCTCCGTTCATTGAGTGCTCACAATAGTCACTGCCTTTGAGCGAACTGGCTCCTAAACTCTGAAACCTCAACCTTGCCTGAAATATCGCGATACTCTCTCTCAACGGCCGTGAGAAGAGCTTCGCTGCCAATCGTTTACATTACCTGGTGATGCAGCTCGCTGGACGAGCCTTCTAACCCAGGTTACTAAGCGATAATGGTAATTAGTGAATCCCATTTAAGTCTGACACGGAGATTCTACAGTTGAGTTTGGAGGAACCAACCATTATTAATTAATAATTGTCATTAAATAATAATAAATTAAAATTTACTAAATTTCCATACACATTGGTGGAGACATCAAAATTTACTTGAGCTAATTTTTCATGCACCTTACTTAGGAATTTTTGGTTCCATTCCTGTTGTCGTCTAGCTTTCTTTCTGTCTTTCTTTTATTTGTCTTTTCTTTTTCCTATTCTTGAATTACTCAGTGTAAATCATCCAGGAATTTATCACAACACCCCCATGTAAAGCACCTTGGGCTGACTCTTGTGAAAGGCGCTATACTGTATATAAATAAATTGAATTGAACTGAAATAGAGAGTGTGGAGTGCATTTAGTTAAATATCACACCAACATAATTTAGCTCCTTTACTTGTGTTGATGAAAAAGACATAAAATGTTAGGGGCGTTACAGATGTTAGCAGAGTTAACGTCCAAGAAAGTCAGTTATGATGATTTATGGTTAGTCAGTTATGATCAAATGGGCTCAATGAGGTCGTCTTGAGGTGCAGGAGACAGACATGGCTGGTGTGAGGTTGATTCATGCTGAGCAAGGCAATAGTGACAGCTGAAGAAATATCCAAGCAGATCCCCCTCATACCTAAAACTTTGAAAGAGACTAATATTACCATTGCATATACAGATAAAAATACTACACATAACCATAATGCATATATATCAAGTTAACACTGACCATAGGACACGAAGCTGATAAAACTAGCCACTGTGAACTTTCTGTCATGTGTGGGCGAAATGGAGAACAGGGGAGCAGGGATGAGGGCCAACAAAAAGGGATTTTATTAACTAAACCAGAACAGGCAAACAAAAGGGGGTTTTATTAACTAAACTAGAACAGGCAAACAAAACAGATGACAGGGGATCAAGAGGGGAGGCTAGCAGACAGATAACAGGACTACACAACTCCAGTGATGCAACTGAGGATCAGAAGCCTAAGAAGCACTTAAATACTGGGTTATCAAGGGGACTCAACGAAAGGCAGCATGTATGGATCAAAAGAGGGTAGGAATGAGAAGTAAGGCTTAATGAGGGACAGGTATGGCTTGTTGAAGTCACACCAGGGAGGAGACAGGAGACGGAGGCAGAGCAGGACATGACACATTTGTCAACTTACCCTTCATTCCTCCACAAATATCTTTATGTGTAATATCAGTTTCGTGCCCTGAGAGTAAATCAGAATATCGTGAGGAATGTTGTGTTTTACCATTGTTTTCCATGAACGCTATCCCTGCAGCACTTAAATGAGACTCCTCTCCCCAATAAAACACCCGGAATTGATTAATAGTGCAGCATAAATCCCACCCAAGCTGGGCCCTTTTCCACAGGCAGGAGGAGGTGCTCACCTCTGTAGTGAGGCAGGTGTCTTTGTCAGCCTCCTCGCAGCACTTACTAAGCATTTGGTCGAACTTATCGAAGATGGTCATCGCCAGGTTTGGCGGCAATTTCATGCTGAGGCGGACAATGTCGTATAGCAGCCTGATGACAAAAATGAACATAAAACAGTGATAAAAGTCCAGTGACATCTGGAGACTCTGGGTGGTGAACAGACCCGTGGGAGAAAAGATCAGGATGATTTAACACGCATCCATAGAAGCATTTCAATGGTGACCAAGCAGAATGCAGAACAAGCACTTTGCTCTCAGCAAACCAACCAAAGGCATGAGAAATAGACCCTGCCTTCCAGGGTCTCCTCTAAGATATACAGTACCAGTCATAAGTTAGAACAGCGAAAATGGCAAGAAATGGAGCACCGTCTTGAAGTGATTCGTGCAACTAATGGTGCCCATATACTGTAGAGGTGCATTAAATGAGGCAAGAAAAAAATAAATATATTCATCTCATTTTGTAATAATTTCCACATATCTGTCTTTTCATTTGCCTTTGTAATACATTTTTTGAAATTGTAAACAGACTTTATGGACAACCTGTATATTATATTATAGGTTTTAAGTCTTTATTCTAAAAAGTAGATAATAGTACAAATAAATTGTAATATTCTATGGGCTGGTGCGTTCAAACTTTTGATTAATACTGAATACAATGAACTTACTTTACACTCTTCATAAAATAAGTTAGATGTTAGTAGAGTGACTTGCCTGCCATCCTTAAGTTATACTGCACCCCATGCATTTGTAATATTGCTGTAATTTGGAGGGACAGAGCTGTAACACATATGGACTCCCTTCTTATTGTATATGGAGGGGGGGGCGTTAAAATCCAAATACTGAGAAGGGAACAGAACACAAACTACTTTCGTCATTCATTCATTCATTCCATAAATTGCCCCCTGGCCCCCTCTTACAGTACTGTCTTCTAACCAGATCCTTTCCTGGAATTAGACCCCCTTGCAAACCAGAAGCTTGATGTCCAGTTTGCTGGATCCATTGATTCACTGGTAAAGGAGGAACTGACCTCTTTTGAGATTGCAGCCGCTCATCGGCACGTTTGTCGCAGACACTAGCGTTGAAGCGAAAGTTCGCCTCTGTGAATGGCGGGGACTGGAAATTCTCGTCAGCTTCCAGGTCTCCAATGCAGAACCTCCATTCACTGTGGGACTCATTACAGCACTTGATAACCTGTGGATTCCGGTTCTCTGGGGGCATATCCTGGCACATGTTGTCAAGGAAGGCCGTCACCTGTCAAGAAAAGTGGTTTTGTGGAGCTAGTCAGCTACCATCAGAACCGGATCCACAGTAACATCCCCAAGTGGCATCATCAAAAAGGAGATTCTGAGGTCACCTGACCTTTGTCGTGGCACATGGTAGGATGCCAAACGCACGGTCTATACTACAGCAGTGTTTCATGATATCGTAGAGTACTTCAGATATGGCATCCATCTGTAGAAATGTGGCCTGAGGTAACATTCTGGACCAGGAGGCTGCAAGACACACCACCAGCTTATTATCAAATTCAAGCATGGAAAAAACAATGACAAAGTACACTAAGCAGCAAATAAAAACGTGTGTATACAGCAGCAAGCATATAGAGCACAGACAAACATACATTTAGTGCAAAAGACCAGGTGCAATGACGGTACACGTATTGCAAATGGAACTGGATCATTTCTTTGTAAAGTCTTCCACAGTATTAGTTAGTGGGCAAAAAGAACATAATCATGTCGTTGGTTAAGGCTATCATTGTATTAGTTAGTGGGCAACCAAATCAGAATCATGTCTTGGGTTAAGGCTATCATTGTATTAGTTAGTGGGCAACCAAATCAGAATCATATCTTGGGTTAAGGCTATCATAATATTAGGTAGTACGCAAACAGAACAGAATAATGTCTTGGATAAGGGATACCATGGTATTTGTTAGTGGACAAAATGGAACAGAGTAATATCTTTTGTAAATCATCTGAATATCTACATTAAACTAGATCATCTACCTTTTCTCAAAGATGTTGGCTTTTCCACCTGATTTCTCGTGACACATTCCAAGGTAGAGGCTCCATTCACTATCACTCTCCTTCTTGAAGCCATGAAGACCCTTTTGTTCAGAAAACACAGCCTGTGAATGTCTTACAGAAAAGGTCTTTGTTTCTTTACTGGACTCCCCAGCAGCATCAAACTCAGGCCCTACAAGCAAAGTATTTTCCCACAATCGAGCCATAGAGTTATCGTCCCAAAGACTAAAGCTCCTGGCAGAATTAAGCAGCTGCTCCGCCACAGCATAACATGCAGCATGTGCCCTGTTTGTGTGCAAAGACAGCAGGAGTGGACTTACACCGGGACTGAAGATGTAGCAGTCCTCCAAGTTTTCATGGCTGCAGCACTGGAACAAAGATTCTTTAATCTTTGTCACGTAGCGCAGAATGGCCTCAACAGAGGTCTCTGGGTGACGTCTGCTGATCTCAAAAATAATTCTGCAATAAGAGCGACAGATGCAGCAAATCTGAACTGACTACTGGTGCGTGTGTTAATCTGTATGTGTAAAAAGCTTCTGGTAGAGGAACACCCACAGGGAGACTATAGCATAGAGCTACACTAGATAGGAAACCTAGCTTATCATCAATAAGCTAAATTCCCTATGTGGTTACCCTAACTTGTTGCCTTGTTGTCTGGCCCTTATCCCATAGCAAGGTTGCTACATTATTACGGCAGACTTTTGCATTTGTGTATAGTGCATTGTTTGTGCCATGCAAGTATGCATCAGGGTGCCTTGCTTTCTCATGGTTTTCTCAGGATGCTTCTCAAAACTTTGGCATGTCTCCTGCAGGTGAGCCTTGACATCGTAGTACTTAGACAGGCCCTCCGGCTTCTCCCCAGCTGACGTCTCTCTCATGCACGAGCCCCGGTCCTTGGTGCTCTGCTCGCAGCACTCAGACTGGGGTCCATTTTGCGACACTACATCTTGGTGGGAACAAATGTCACCCCCAAGCTCCTTCTACTCAGAGTGACACATAAAGTACTGTAAATATTTTAGTTCATTCACAAGAAAACACTCCCTACAATTTACCAGGAAAGCGAGAATGGTGTTTTGTTACTCTTTAAATGCTAAAATCATAACATTTGTTCTAGATTTGGCAATTCATGTTGTTGGAACTTGCATAGTGTTTGGAGCCACCTGGTGGACATTGTCTAGATATGATTTTCGGGGTTTTAGCTTGTCTATGATACAAGCGATAAGGCTCTCTTCCGGAAGTTATTTATGAGGGAAAAACTTGTTGCCTTTTCAATATTTTGCATTTTACGTTCTTACACTCTTAGAAAGCATGACATTGTAAGTAACATTTAATTTAACAATTTTGTTAGGAAATTTTGCATTATTTGATACATTATATGGACAAAAGTTTTGGGACACCTGTAGTAATTACAGGAATGGGTCACATAGGCCACACCCACTGCTGACATACAGGTGTATAATTAAGCACACAGCCATGCAGCCTCCAGCATCAATGGCAGCAGATTGGGGGTCATACAGAAGAGGTTAGTCAGCCCAGCACCGTCACTGGACACCACTGGACACCTTTGGGCACCATTGGACACCATTGGACACCTTTGGGCACCATTGGACACCATTGGACACCTTTCCAACAAGCTGGTTCTCCTCATTTCTGTCCTGCTAGAGCTGCCCTGGTCAACCACAAGTGAAGTGATTATGAAGTGGAAAATTCTGAGAGCAAGTCCAGCTGCAAACTGACAGCCACACAAGGTCACAGAAAGGGACCTGATCACCCAGCATCAATACCAAACCTGAACGGCAGCAAATCCCACCAGCAATGTTCCAGCATCTAATGGAAAGCCTTCCCAGAGGAGTACAGGCTGTTATAGCAACTAAGGGTCAGTCAGCTTCTTATTAATGTCCTTTGATTTGAGTGGATGTTGGACAGGCTGGTGTCCCAATACTTAAGTCCATATACTTAAGTCCATGTAGTGTACATAATTTCAGATGTCTTAATTGCAACAGTTCATCAATCTAACAATGTCATCCATCTGCAGTCATGCTGCAATTTTTTTGTGTTTTTTTTCTGAGCTTTTCTGTTGCAGACATCAAATTAACTCTGTACCCTTGTGTATGTTTGGTTTCAACTGTAGGGGACCCTCACCCTCTGCCTCAAGCAGCTAATCATATCCCCTTCACAGCAGACAGCCGTTATGGCCACAGTATTATCAGTCATGTTTTCCATCAGCTCGTAGGAGGCTTGTGGAATCTTCTGGCTGTACTGGGCCATTTTCCTGACAGAATGACAGACAAATAAAGAGGGCTGGAAAATGAATTGGTCCACTGTAAGCTAAAGTAAAACAGGGTTACTATGTCTAATGGAAAAACTCTCATCTGTGAATGAAGACAGAAGTGACATTACCTGTCCTTGATGGTACTATCCCCATATTTCTGCTGTACAATGCAGTTGGACCTCAGCTCAAACAGGCGTCTCTGAGCAGACAATCTCAAGTCTTTTTTCTGTGGTGAAGAGCATGAGGCATGTTATCTGCTTTTAACTGCATCTTTTATGCTTGATAGCACTTTGGTACTTAGTGTCAAACACAAAGACGTGTTTTTTTTAGATAGCGTTTAGGTTTATAACTGGGGTTGCATAACTGAATTCATTAACTTGAACAGAAAAACAGGAGAAGGCATCAGCTGCTTGGTCATTTTGTTCTGGAGTGTTCGGACTGGACTGTTAGATAGGAGCCTGCACACCTTGGATTCCAGAAGATTACCTACCATGTATGCAAAGCAGTACTGAGAGTATTCTCTGCCACAGCAAATCTTCATAAGCTTCTGATATTTTTCTGCCATCATAATGATGATCTGGGGCTGGGTCATTACAAATTGCTTGGCTAAATGGAAGATGAATCTGAAACAGTCAAAAGTGTTCAGTGAGTATCAACGTCTGCTCTGGTCTTGAGATGAATTTTCAGTGGAGTCCAATTTGAGACCAGCGTTCTGAGCACAAGAAATGATGTGAGACTGCGTCCTCAGAGCCCATGGAAGGTTTGCACTCACTTGCCAATAAAGATACTTTCATTCTTCTTGAAGTTCTCACACTGATCTTGATCTGACATCTCTATCTTCGGCAATGGATCACTGGGGATCTTGGACTTGTGTTGGACAAAGCAGCGGGTTCTGTTGGGCCTGGACATCTCACAGCAATGCTTTAGTGCATTCTTCTCCACCAGGGTGTGCGATACGCACACCTCACTCTGGAACATGTCTGTCTACATGCAGAGTATCCCAAAATATACAGGCCAAAAAATGTATTAGATATCAGCTGGTCCACCTTGATTGTACCCCGTAAGGACCAAGGTACCAGATGAAGTATTTGTCTGAATGCATCAGTCCAGGTCATGAATTTTGAATACCTGCCCTGTCTTCCCGTCATGTTCCCATTTCGCCAGCAGAGGTCGGTGGTCATCCCATAATCACCTCATTGTTTTTAGCCTAATGTGCTTAACCATCCACACCTGTCTTTAGTTTGGTCCTTGTTTACTATGTCTGCCCTCGCCCGATTTCCCAGCTCGGCCATTAGAGTGGTTGTAGAAGTTTGCTGTGTTAGTGTTTGAGTTCAGTGTTTTTATTCATCCTAATGTGTTTTTGTATATAATAAAAAGTCCCCTTCAGTGTCTCCCACACTGCACATCGATCGTCCCTCGTTCAAACATATCGATATTACCAGAGGTGGAAAGTTCAGGTCCAGAAAGTACAAATTCAGACCACCGTCCAGATGAGAACTATGTGACTGTGACTCTTTCAACTCAACTTTTTGGTTGAAACAAATCCTTCGTTTGGATTTGTACTCTCTGGATCTGAACTTTCCACCTCTGGATATTACTACTACAGAAATTTCTACAAAGTCAAGCAAATACACTCATAACAAGTGCAAGTAGCAAGTGCACCACTAGATTCAAACATCCTCTCCACAAAGCTCCCGTATGTGGTGCTGTGTACTTCCAAGCTGAAAGGGCAATTTTTCCATTTAATTATTAATCTGACTTCTTTAATCCTACTTTCCAAACACTTCGGATTTTAACCATCCATCCCATTGTGAGGTGCTGAGTACAACTCCCTACTCTGCTCATGCACTACTATGACACACCTGCTGTCGTCCTCACCTCATCATTGTTGCAGTTGGCAGTTGGCGACGGTGACCGTGGCCTGTTCCACCATGGAACCCAGCTCCTCAAAAGTGCTGTTTGGCAAGTTTTGGGACACTCCCACAAAAGCCCTGAAAAGGGCAGATGAAAACATTGGTGTAGAGCAGGGTTCTTCAAATCTGGACTTTGATTCCAAATCCAGGCCTTGTTTTCAGTTCTCCCAGGTAGTTAGTTTAATAATCACTGATGCTGATTGGTCAGAGGCTTCACACCTGGCTCACAGGTAAAGGAAGGCTGGAAAACCAGCAGTGCTCGGACCTTGAGGACCGTGATTTGAATAATATGAAATATATAATAAAAATATATAATAAAAGTTTCCCATTTAATGTGAAATCCACTGCATCGCCTTAACTGAAGTTTGCTCTGTGCTGCTCAGGATACCAAGAGCAAAGTAACAGAAAACAGAAATTAATGCAAATTATCACCAGGTCTCACTCAGAAACGCTTGGCCGGAGTGCACATACAGCTCTGGAAAAAAATTAAGAAACCACAGCAACATTTTTAGTTTCACTTATTTTCTCAGTTTCTAGGAATGCATCAGTGTAAAATATACATTTTTTACAAACTCCAGCCTGGCTTTTCCCTGCTTCTCTTTGATGAAGGGCTTCTTCCTTGCGTTACGGGTCTTTGAGAGCTCCTAGGAACCTTAATGTTTCCCGTTCTTTTTGAAGGTCACTTGAGATCATCCTCTAATTCATGGGGCACTGTTGGAGAAGTTAGCAGTCATTTCTAGCATTAGACAGTTTCTTCTGCGCTCTACCAGGCTGGATTTTGGCCGTTCCCCGTGTCTCCTGCTTCACTTTGTTCTTGTACTACCATCTTAGAAACCTTGAGCCTGGAAGCAGCCTGATGCTCAGTGTAACCTTCTGCCAGCAGAACCACGATTAAACCAGGATTTAAAAATGCAGATTAAAAAAAATATATAAAGTAATCTCTTAATTTTTTCCAGACCTGTATATAAGACTTAAGTCTTCATTCACAATCAGCAATGTAAAATCAGAATGACTTATAAATTTTGGAAATCTGCAAATCACTATAAAAGTTACAGATACGGTTATCTGTGAGACAGAAAATAAATGGATGTTACTACAACAATGATTCACACACGGAGATGTGCACCTAAGTCAGGAACCACTAGGTGGTGTGGTGGCCGAGGAACTAAACCGTAACATGACGGCCTGGTGCTCTAGTGTTACTCAAGATACACAAAGACATACGTGCACGAATAGGTTCACTCAAGGCCTCCACCGAAGAGAGGATGGCCAGCATGTAGGACAGCAAGCTGCTTCATGGTGGATGGACAGGCAGTCCAGTTTAAAAGTGGATCCCAAAGCAGATGGGGTCCTCCAGGGAAACTGAGTCTTTTATAAGAGCTTCTGAGTCATCAATCATTGATGTGCCCTGACACTTGATACCATGTCCCCTCTAGAATTTTCTCTTATTTGTTCAAATGCAGCTGCCGTCTGATACCGACTGATGTTTCATAAGCTGTTTATCACCATGTTTAGATTGGCTTCTCTCTTGGTCACTCTAGTTCAAATATTTCTTTTGTTAGATGTGCAAACATTGAAGCCACTCATTTTCTGGTCACTTATAAACTTGTGCTTTTTCTGCAGTGGCATTTTTAAGTACACTGTGCTGGTGTGGCATTTTGATGTAGTCCTGCTCTTTCGTCTTTCTGTTTACCAGCAGCTGCTGGGCTGAGAAGCTATAGTTCTGTCATTTCTATAATGATATAATTTATGATCTGACCCAGAACAGCATCAAGTCCTGACACACACTACATGGATAAATGTGTTGGGACGTACCTCTTAGTCACTGAATTCAGGTGTTTCATTCAGACCCATTGCCACAGGTGTATAAAATCAAGCACTTAATAATAATCATCACTTCATTAATCCCTGTGGGGAAATTGTCTTTACACCTCCCTTGACTTGCTCTTTGTAAGCAAGGTGTCTGTGAAGGGCAGCCACCTGTGGCAGCGCCCAGGGAGCTGGGGGTTAAGGGCCTTGCTCAAGGACCCGCAGACATGCTGAAACTGAGTTTGAACCAGTGACCTTATGATTACAAGCACACAGGCTTAGCCCACTGAGCCACACGCTAACCCATGGAGTCAGATCCAGATGAACGGATCATTCTGCAGAGCTTGATGAATTCAAAAGTGGTATTACAGGATGTTGCCTTTGCAATAAATAAGTTTGTGAAATTTCTTCCCTGCTACATATTCCATGGCCAACTGCAAGTGGTATTATTGCAATGTGGAAGTCTTTAAGAACAACAGAAACTCCGCCACGAAGTGGGAGACCAGGTAAAGTAACAGAGCGGGGTCACTGGGTGCTGAGGAGCACAGGGTGTGAAAGTCGCCAACACTCTGTTGACTCAATAACTGCAGAGTTCCAAACTTCCTCTGGCATTAACCCCAAAACTGTGCGCTGGGAACTGTATAGAATGGGCTTCCATGGCGAAGTAGCTGCATGCAGTTGTCACATCGCCAATTGCAGGATGGAGTGGTGTAAAGCACACTGCCACTGGACCCTGGAGCAGTGGAAACGTGTCCCGTCGAGTGACAAATCACACTTCTCTGTCTGGCAGTCTGATGGACGAGTCTGGAATTGGCAGATACCTGAAGAACATTACATGTCTGACTGCATTGTGCCACCTGTAAAGTTCGGTGGAGGAGGGATAATGATATGGGGTTGTTTTTCTGGGGTAGACCTAGGACTGGGCTAAATGACAGCTCAAATTTAATCATGACCCTTACATACAAGTGAAGTTGTGTCAAACTGTTGCATCTGTATCTAGGACCTAATGCGTAAGAATGATTAGTTGACTAAACTACCAATATCACTCTACAGCTGTCACATGTGTCCCAGATCTATTATTCAGGTAACTTAGTTGGCTCTGAACTAGTGGAGATTGCAGCCAACCTTATTTATGCAAAGCAATGTTATAAACTTGGAGGTTTCTATCACGAGGGCGCAGCATGGTGCAGGCAGGAAAGAAGGTTTACAATCCACTTGCGGCTCGCAGGAAATCAGGGGTTTATTAACAGAAACAGAAAACACTAAAACAAACAGAACACGAGATGTCAAAAAGCATGTGCATTTAACCTTCTGAAATGCACATGAAATACAATGATCCACTCAGGAACTCACCCAAGGGAGGAACCTAAATACATAACCAAACTGGGTAACGACACAGGAGGAGTGAGACATGAAACAATTAACCAATCAGGGAGGGTGCAGGACAACGAGCAATCAGGTTGAACACACAAGGCTAAGAAACTGACAGAGAATCAAAGAAACAAAATCTAACACTTGGGAATAACAAAGACAGGTAAAACACAACCAAGGCATAAAGCAAAAAACCAAAACAGAAAACAAACCACAAACTGACAGGAACTAGAAACTGATAAATGAAACACTAGGGGACAAAATAAACAGGATTTGAACTGAGGGGATTACAGATAACTGCATGCTCAGCTCATTGAGCTATGCAGCCATCTGGGGAGCAAGGGAAACAATATTGACTGACAACAGGGAGGACAGGATGGCCAGCGACACCTGCTGGCCAAATGGGGAGAAGACACGAAATATTCGGACAGACGGGTGCTGACCCTTACATTGCCCACTGTTCAGTCAAGCCTTTGCGCATGAGTCAGTCTTGCTCCTCATCTCATCTTGGAGCTGTCCATCCAGTCAGCCGCGTAAACTGATGTCTCCAGTTCTCAAGGGCCAGTGGGCAGAGGACTTGGCCCAGGTTGAGATGTTTTGTCATCGATCGTGCCCATGAAGGCTAATCAAGGCTTTTAACCTGTAAGCACTGAGTCAGTTGTAATAACAGCTGAGGTCTACATTCCATTTATGGCTTCATAACTGACAGCGGTTGATTTGTTGTTCCCAGGGCTCCACTCAGAACGTCACTTGAGGTCCCCATATGTCCATATGTCTTGGACACTCGGGTGAAGAGAGGAGCTGAGCTGTCCAGTGATCCTGGAGCTTGATTTTTTTTTCTTGAAGGAAGACTGGCATTGGGGCTAAAATACTCGGGGCTGGACTTAGAATACTAGGGGCTATAGCCCCGAGTGATCGGATCTAATGACACCCAGGCCCCAGGTTCAGGTTATATTTTGTATATTAATTCTCTGAGCATATTTCTGTGAAAGACTGCGGGAATTAGCCAACTAACTAAACCCTGATGGTGATAAATAAAATAGCTGTTCCTCCCAGTTAATCACAGTTTATTTTTCTCTCGCCCTTTTACAGTTTTGCTTCTGCTTACAGCTGTTTATTTACTAAAGAAATCCAACTGAGCTCCCCGATCCAATATCAGTCTGCCTGCTGGACGTCACCTGCTGTTTCTTGCTCAGAACACACTCAGCACATGAGGAGCAGAGAAATGTAAGGGCCAGAGACGGTCACAGAGAGTCATTTTTCCAAAATGGGTTTATTATTGCCATTAGAGAGGGTGGGGTATGAGGGGCAGGTGTTGCTTTGGGTTCAGGGGGCAGAGCAACATGAGCTTTGGCCGCTCACTTGCTGGTCGCGGTGCCGCTGAAGGTGAAGCAGCCATGTGGATGATACTGCATGTCCCTCACCCGCCGCATGGATTGGATCTGGGGCTGGATGGCGCAGAACTCGTTGTAGTGTCTGTAATCACCGCACTCAAACAGGTACTGGTAGCCCCTGTACCCGGGGTACTGGTAACCCACCCACCTATGAGGCAGAGAGGGGGAGAGCGGAAGGCAGAAAGAGATGTGAGCGGAAGGCAGTCACATGCGTCACAGGAAGAAGTGATTCACTGCTTCAACAAGAAAAACCCTATCTATGTATAGCTGTGTGAGTGGAAGCCAGAACTGGACCAGGGCCATTCAAAGATGCCCAACCAGGGGGGTTTCCTTCAGTAGATGGTAAGTCATCAGTGAAGAGATGTTCAAAAGGAGGCACTTTACTTGGAAGTAGTCCTTGAAAAGTGACTCTTGGTGAATGGATATCACAGTATGATTTAACGTATCCATTGAAGCATTAATGTGTTTTCTCAATGAGCCCAGTCTTCCCAGTCAGCTGTATTGTTCCCAGTGATTCTCTGGCTACTTACGCTCCTCCAGAGACCCTCACGCTGCCCACCCGGTCACAGAAGCCATGCGCCCAGAGGGTGGGCACATCGTCCTCCTGGATCTCCATCTTGTTGCCCTCAAAGTCGGACAGTTCATAGAGGCAGATTTTATGTTCCTGCATGTCCTGCAGTACAGACAGACAGACAGACAGACATTTTTTTCTTCAGGGAAAAGTTTTCCTGCAGTATAAGAATCTTTTTCAAGGTTTCAGCTTTGCAGGTGGGCCTTCTTGGCCATGTTTACTACAGTAAATGATAATTGAAGGTTAGGGGACAGAGGTCTCAGTAACCTTTTCTCTAATTTATTACATGGTTTTCATTAACACATCATTTACATACCCCTTGGCTAAGTCTCGCTTAAGGTGGCGTGGATGAATAGCAGCAACAGTGATTATTATCAGTATCTTAACATTTGAGCTTTCATGACAAAGCTACAATTTTTGGAAAACTATGAAAATGTCAGTTCCATTGGAGAATTACTATTGATTGCGCAGACCGTGGAAACGTAAAACGTTTTTGTTTATCATTATATTATAAACTCCCTAGGTGGGTACTCTGGGATCTCTTGGCATGTGTTGGTGTCACATGGTCATGCTCACCATGCGGACTGGTCTGAAGGACATGAGACAGTCACTGCGATAGCTGTTGGACCAGGTGTCCCAGCGAGGATATTCCCCCTTCTCCAGGATGAACATCTCCCCACGGAAGTTAGTCTGCTCGAAGGCAACCCAACTGAAGGGGGGGGGGGTGAGGACAGAGTAGAGAAAAAGAGCAGTGTGCGAGAAACATGGGCATGCGGAACGAGGAGAGGTGGGAACCCAAAGGGATGAGTTAGAGTAAAGAAGGAAACATGCAGGGCGCAGTTATGCTCAACAGGAAGATGCCAGTGGTCTTCCAAGAAAACTTTTGCAGATGTTTGAAGCATTTTGCGGTGGAGTTATTTGATTATGTCTGTGTCTGCTTAAGGCTGTATGTACACAATGGGTTGAGTGTATGGGAGCAAGTATTACGCCTTTAAATTAAAGAGTTTTACATGAGATTAAGCTCTTTATGTGGGGTTACTGCAAACAGCAGTACCTGCTTGGATGCCGTGATTGATGGAGCTTCTGAACAACGCTGTCTACAGTGACTGCTCTTTGCAGTGCTACACGTGTAACTGCGGTGATTATTGTTGGCATGGTAACGCGCTAAGAGCTGTCTCTGCGACCTCAGGAGCCTTACGGGCCACACTCCACGCGCAGGCTGCGCACACGGTCCAGCCCCATCTCTGTCGTATTCACACATTCATTCTGGATCTCCATCATCTTGCCCTGGAAGTTCTCCTGCTCAAACAGCATGATCTACAAAGAAGGAGGAAAACTTATGTTATATGCCTCCATTTTATATGGTCTGAGTAAACAAAGATTAAGTTTTCTGTGGCATTTTGCAGACAATCTATTGAATTGCTGACCTTCTATTCAAATTGTCACATGACACACTGCAGCAACTGCTAAACAGCCTATATGGCATTTTTCCTACAAGTCACTTCTTTAACAACCCCATTCAGAAATGCCTGGTCACTGATTATTCCAGTGACTGATTGGCCATAAAAGATGTGAACCATCAGACCATTCTGCTAAAAGCAGTGATCACAGATCCTTAGCCAATTAAAAACTGCAATTTAAGCTAAATGGAAGTGGTTCTGAGGTCTGCACTTCTGAATGATGATAGCTATCCAAAGGTTACATGCACAGGTCTGTAGCAGGTAGGTGATATTGTTGGGTTTCAGTATGTGCAAAATACAACCTGCTCAAAATCAAAGATCAGCTGCATTATTTTATAACCTGCCCTGTGCACGTGGGTGATACCTAGTGAGTATAAAGAAGCAAACCTAGCGTTGGGAGAATGAGATCATAGCATCTATCGCAGACAGGGATACTATGCAGCTGCAAATCAAACCACATTGTGCTTGGTGTCTGTGTTGGTTGTGGATTAAATATGGCAGATACTGCCAGCAGAAACATTGCCCTTCATCGACTGCAAAGCTTCATTTATCAATAGCTAAAATGTTCTCACTGAGGCTGAATTCTCCATGCCGATCTTCTCCAGGGGTAGCTGGCCTGAACTGCAGAAGAGGGCCTGGTTCTTAGAAGCACGGATCACTTACCCTGTACTTGCCCACGCTGGTGTCCGCGATCTTCGTGCTCTTGCCCCCGGAGGCAGGAGACCCCTTGTCCTTGGCTTCGACGCCCTTGTTCGTCGTGTCCTTGGCTGTCTGAGACATCGTGAGGGTTTGGAGTTTCTGGGAGGGAGAGGATAGAGAGGAGTGAGCGGCAGGGTCTGGGGATCAGTATCAGCCTGAGCTCAGGGCTCTACCATGCATGTTTACCTCAAATACTGAATGAATACCTCCTCACTAAGAGCTCCCCGCCCCACCAAGCTATCCCAGTTCCCCCCTCCAGTCTGAGCACACTTTCCCCCAAGCAGGACAGGAGAGTCAGGCACCCAAGATGCCCCAATGCCCTCACCTGCGTAAGTCCGGCTGGTGGAGGCGTGTGAACCTGCTTTCTGCCCCGGCACCCGGGGCATCACCTTTTATACCCTGGCAAGGGGCATACAGCTGGGCTTGGTGCACAAAGGGATCTGCTGCCGTCATCATAGCCGCCTCGCCAGTCCGCCGCCCCCCTTTCGGCTGCCCGCTCACCACGTCGCCTGGGACCGTAAGCAGTTTGTAGTGAAAGGAAAGTACTGAGCATGGCAGTTTGGCCCGGGGTCCGGCTGGTCCCGCCTGAGGGGAGGAATGCGTAGGTCAGAGGTCAGCACTGCCTGAATCACATCCCCACCCCCCCTCGAGAATGACGGGACAGTAAGGGAGGGTGCGCCTGAACACAGTATAGATCTGCAGGACAGTTACAATGGTGGCATTCTGTTAAAAAAATCATCCAAGAAATGGCTTAAGGCAACAGAGCCAAATAAAGCAATTATGAGAGTTTGTGTTAATTTTAAAAATATAAGGAGATTAGCCTTCTCCTTTATTTCCTAATAAAACATTACCTTGGCTCTTCAGGGCTGGTGTACATCAGCTCTGATGATTCCCTCATGATGGAATGGACAGTTTTTACCAGATGACTTGGTTTTGTTTTGGATTCAGAAATCACAGCACGGTTCTGTTGGAGATGTTGGAGATACCCAAGATGTCCATCAACCTCCATTTCTACAGGTAGAAATTCAAGCAGAAACTCATTCATGAAAGGGACATTCACTAAAGTGTATGCTCATAAAACCATTAGATGAAACAAACCTGTGTTAATCATTTTAAATTGTGCCAGAATTTCTATATCGACAGATTATATTTCACAGATGAAAAAGATACAGTCTGTTAAAAATTACATTTAAAAAAAATCAAGCCATTTCCAAGGTTTATGCTGAATGCCCTGAAAAGCCAGTTGGGTGATTAACAGGACAAGTTGCAGTAAACAATAATAATATCAAGGTGTGTCACATGACTCCCTCCAAGTGAGCCTTTTATTCGTAAACTCTGGGGTCACATGACTCCCTCCAAGTGAGCCTTTTATTCGTAAACTCTGGGGTCACATGACTCCCTCCAAGTGAGCCTTTTATTCGTAAGCTCTCGGGTCACATGACTCCCTCCAAGTGAGCCTTTTATTCGTAAGCTCTGGGGTCACATCATTCACAGCTCCATTATGAACAACTGAAATCAAGTCATGTGTGTTTGTTTTTCTGATTGGGATAATTAAAATGTGTACGTGTATATATATAAAATGATTCTCACATACAGCATATGTGTGTTATTCCATATAGATAGGTATGCAAGTATTGGGGGGGGGCAGCACGTGGCTCAGTGGGCTAAGCCTGTGTACCTGTGATCGGAGGGTCACCAGTTCAGACCAAGATTTTGTTTCAATCAACCAGTTGAGTACTCTGTGAATGTGACTCTTTATATGCAATTGGTTGGTTGAAAAGAAACCTTGATCTGGATTTGTAATTTACTGTATGGACCTAAACTTTCCACCTCTGCCAGTGGTTACCGATTGGCAGCTGTCTACTATTCACAAAGCCGCTATATATTTGAATTAAATTCCTGTTAATCGTGTTTGAATTAATATGCTACTAGATTATCCATCCTTGCATTGGCCAGAACCACAGATCTATTGCAGATCATTGTTGGTCTGGATCCCATGACTGGATCCCACAGACAGGATTCCAGTCCTTCACAGGGAACACACGTCTACAAACAGTCACCGAGTACAGGCAATTCAGAGACACAACAGGAACATTGAGGGAAAATATGAAAATAGGTAGTCCTAACAGTAGAGCAAAGGGCTCTGTAAATACTCATGACTCCAGGCTAGGTGCTCAGATCAGCTTGGTTCCGCATTGTACTGGCTGTGATCGTGCTTGACTGTAGCGGGTTAGCTAGCTGGATCAGGCTTCTGACTCATTTCCTGTATTTAATGTAATCTGTTGTACCTCTGCCTGCCAAAGCAGAGCTGGGGAATGAGTGCCCCCAGGGAACAGAGCGGCGGGTGGGGTGCAGCCCTCCGGTGCCATACCCCGTGTCTGGTCCTGGTCCTGCCTCAGCTTCCTATGGAGACGCAGTCGGGGCATAACACAGTGTGAGCGTTTCTGCCCATCTATAGATTAAGCCTCTTTGTGGGGCGACAATGAGCAGGCCGCCCCTCCCCCCTGCTGAGCCGGGGCTTTTTGCTAGGCCCCGTCACCCCCGGGAGGCTTTTAAAGGGCCCGAGGGACACTGCGGCTCCCACTGTCGCTGCAGTTCGTCCCGCGGACCCCCGGGCCAGGTGAGTTCCGCCCCTTCCCTGCGGATGCTGGTCGTTTTTCTTCCTGTTGCTGCCCCTTCTGGTTGTTTACAGTGTTAACTGCCGAGCAACTGCTTGTGTCACCAAGAAACGACAAGCACCACAGTCTTATGTGTTTTTGTCCAGGGGATCGCAGGGTTGCAGTTGCACCTTTTGGCAGGTGGCCTAGTCTTTGCTGCTGTTTTTTTTTTTTGTGACCCAACCTCTTCAGGTGCCGGTAGCAGTGAGTTAGTGCCAGCAGTCCCTCATCAGGTGTTTCTGTGTTCTGTGAATGCTCACCTTTTCCAGGCAGACCTCCACTGATTAAACTACACCCCCTCTCCCTATCACCTAAGATGAATCACCAATGCACCAAGTTCACTGGCCACTGGAAGGTATGATGGAGGCTAGACGGGGTGTGAGACATCAACACAGTGTTCAGATTGCCCATTTCCATGCATCAGCACAACAAAAACATACAAAATGAATAGCATAATAGATAAAAGATTATGCAGACAGTCCTGTTTTTGAGTGCAGACTTTTGCTACAACAATAAATACTGTAAAAGTTTGACAGGGGACATTCAAGCTATGACATAAGTCAACCTAGGTGGAGGTACCCTGAGGTATAAAGGAGAAGAATGGCAGACTGACCCTCCCAGCAATGGCGAACTGTGACTTTCCCGCAACCCCAAACCCCCCCCCTCCCGGCTTTCTCTCCCACAGATCATCATCTTTGACGAGGAGTGCTTTCAGGGCCGTCGTCATGAGTTCACCGCCGAGTGCTGCAACGTCATGGATTTCAGTTTTGAGACCGTGCGCTCCATGAGGGTGGAGAGCGGAGCGTGAGTGTGGCAACCAAACTACTAATAATTACTTTGGGGGGGGGAGGCTGGAATAGGAAGCTAGAGGTGGGTTGTGGGAGACTGTAAGAGTGGACATCTTAGGTCCATCTAAGCCTTTTCTCTTAGCCTCTCTCCATCCTTCAGAGGATGGGCACCTGTGCTTGGACTGCACTGATAGAGATGCAGTCGCTGATGTTAAAGTCAATTCTGGAGAGGCTGTAAAATAGTATGCTGTAGTTTCCGAAGGGAGGAAGAGCTTGATCCAGGATTGTTTTCAGTGAAATATGCTGGATGAATACTCTTCAGGTGGAGTGTAGAATCTGAAAAAAGCTAGAGTTACACATCAATCCATCCACAGGCTAATTCATGGACCTATCTGGAGACCTCAGGCAGGTGAGACAGAGCAGCACACAGGTCACGTGAACCTCACACACTGCCTTACGGTTACCGTGATTCACCCAGGGTGTTCGCTAGCCCACAACAGGGCCAGTGCAGGAGCATGGCAACCGAGGTGCTGGGGCCTGCATAGAGATCTAGGGAGCACAGTCCCATGTAGAGAGCGCTCCAGGCAAAAGACCTTTACACTAAAACAGCTGGCACCCCTACTGGTCAAAAAGAGAATCAGCATTTTGAGGTAACACTGTTTGACTGTTCTAGGTGAAGTCCAAAACAGTGATTCCCCTAATCCGGTCCTGGTGGGCCAAAATCCAACACAGTTTGTAGATTTCCCTGCTCAAACACATCTTAATCAGATAATTGCCAGATTTAGTAGGAGAGTCTGAGCAGGGAAATCTGCAAACTGTGTTGCAAACTTGCACTCCAGGACTAGAACTGTACCCCCTGTACCAAACTAACCATTTGTTAAGATTCCATCCTTCTTTTATTTCATTGACCTGTAAATTAGTTGTTTCCTTGTCTTTGGTTTTATTTTGATATGTGAAGCATTTTGAGCTGCATTCCTTGTATGAAAAGCGTTACAGAAATAAAGATTTTAATTATAATATTATTATTATTATTATTATTATCAAGGCAGACTAAAATAGGGCACTATATAGTTTCAGTTAAGTCCTTTCTTCAAAAGTTGTTTAAATTTGTATACATGTATGTGAAAGTTATATAGTATATACAAAGGTTATGTAATCTGGAGCTAATGTTTATATGGCATACTTAATTTTTTTGTTTATACTTTTATCATTGTAATTTAGTTAAAATTCTGACGGCCTGCTCTGTGTGCCCTCCCCAGGTGGGTGGGCTATGAACATGCAGCCTATCAGGGCCACCAGTTTATTCTGGAGCGTGGAGACTACCCCCAATGTAATGCCTGGGCGGGCAGCAACGCCTACCCCATCGGGCGCCTGACGTCTTTCAGACCAATCTCCTGTGTGGTGAGACCACTCTTTCTCACTTTCTTTCCCACCCCCACTTAATATCTCAGATCTCCATGTTTCATTTCCCCCAGTCCTCTCTAAACCTCTGGCCCTCAGAGGGGTCTAACTAGCAGGTTAGTTGTAACTTTGCTTGGTTTGTTTCTTTGTGAAAAGCTCACAGTGGAGGTCGATTCACCCCTTGAGCAGTAGAACCTAAAGTTGCATCATATAACTGCTCAGCAAGAAGATCTGGACACTACCTCTGAGTGAGACCCTTCTAACACCAAATGCTCTTGGCTGAGGCTCTTATGAAGCTCACTGGATCATTTATTATTTCTTTACAGAACCACAGGGAGTGTCGCATGTCCATCTACGAGAAGGAGAACTTCCTGGGTCGGAGGGGGGAGGTCACTGATGACTACCCTTCCCTCCAGGCCATGGGCTGGTGCAACAATGAAGTTGGATCCTTCCGTGTCCACTCTGGAGCGTGAGTGTCTACCCAACACTGATACTGTCAAGATATCCATAGCAAAACCTCAGCCAAACACTGATTCTCTCTGACTTTATATACTGCCTAGGTCTTTATACCAAATATCTGTGACATTCCATAGCGTTATATACACTCATGGGAGTTTCACTTACACAAAAATCTGATGTATTGGTCCCACCTCTGTTCCATCTCTCTGAACCAATCATTTTTAGTTCTGCCCTTAGAACATTTTTGTGTAAGTAAAACTCCCACAAGTCTTATATACCCCTCAGACCAAATTCTGATACTCCATCACATCTGCCAGTCACTCCTTCCATCTCACTCTCTTTCTCGTAGCCTCATTCCCTCTGTCTCACTCTCATTATCTTAGCCTCACTCCCTCTATCTGACTCTTCTCTCAGCCTCACTCTCCTTCCCATAACCTGACTCCCGCTTGCCACTCCCGTCTCCCCTCAGATTTGTGTGCTTCCAGTACCCCGGGTACCGTGGCTACCAGTACATTGTGGAGTGTGACCGTCACTGCGGAGAGTACAAACACTTCAGGGAGTTCGGTTACCATTCACAGACGCCCCAGATCCAGTCTATCCGCCGAGTCCAGCAGTAACCTCACCCCTGTCACCGGAGCCTCTACACTGCCCAGTGTCCACCTCCATATTACCCACAAGGGGAATAAACAACCTTTCTTAATCTACTCAGCCTCATAGAGGTGTATCAGTGTGTGCTGTGATGATGGCAAGTGAACTTTCATGTAACACTGCAGGGTTACCAGGGAGGCATGGTTCCTCATGAAGGGCAAATCCTCAACCTCCAGCCACACTATGGTCATGTCTCAGTTCTGGGTCTGACTGGTTCTGACTGGTTCTCAGCAGCCTCATTTGACTCATAAATAAAGCTTCAAAACTCTTTCAGAACATGTCTGAAAATTTGGAATTATTGGGGAGAAACTATTACATACATCCAGCTATAAAGTTTGGAAAGATCTTCTTTTAAATAATGTCTTAATTTGGTTAATAAAACTGGTTATGTTCAGGAATATTGTAGCATTCTCTAATATGAGCACAATTACAAGAACTAACCTAGAAATACTATAAATTGTTTAGAAGTTTACAACTTGTGATAGGATTCATATTTGAATCATCAATTTCAACAATCTAGCTGATTTTTTTGTATATCATAGTGTGCTTTCCAGCAGCACCACAAAGGAGGGATATGCTGAAAATTTGCAGGAAATTGTATATTTCATGACATGACACAAGAAAAACAAGGAAAATCATGAGGAAGCACTTTTTATTTTCAGAGGCATCAAAAATAAACAGGTATGTTTTATTATGGCAGCAAATACTGTTGAGCGGAAGGTAAAATCAAAAGGATTGACACGGCTGCTAATTATCCTATTGGCCTGTAGGTTATCAGTGGGCGGGGCACGACCCCTGATGACCCTATTGACCTATAGGTTATCAGGAGGCGGGGCATGACCCCCGATGACCCAATTAGCCTGCAGGTTATTAGTGGGTGAAGCACAGTCCCCGATGACCCTATTGGCCAGTAAGTTATCAGTGGGCGGGGCAGGACAGACACATAGGTAAAGTTCCGGTGGCTTAATGCTCACAAGTCCCCAAGGTGCTTGGTGCAACCACGGGCAAGCTTGGAACCACATGGTTAGATCAAGCACAATGGGGTCCCGGGCAGACTGGGCAATCTCTGCTGAGGTGTGAGTCGAGGGTCTTGTCATCATGCTGCACAGCTTCATAGACCGTGTTCTTCACCCAGCTGCTCTGTTTCTTAATTAATTTCGAGCTGGCGCCAGCAGAAGAGGGTCAGGCCCTGACATCATGGTGCTGTGTCCTTTGTCACCATCACTGCAGTTTTATTCCATCCCCTTCTAGAACCTGAGATCATCTCAGCGCTAGCTGGCAGGTTGTTTTATTGTCAGCTTGTCAGCTTCTAAGTGAAGGAATAGAGTGGGTGGATATTTTTTTGGGTGGGCGGGGGCGATATTTTGAAATGAGACGACCGCACCGTGATGGTGAGGAAGAGGAGGAGTGAACCCCGCAATGCGGCATCTGCAGGACTTTAAAAAAAGCGAGACAGGTCACAGGTCACTGCAGGAAAACGGAGGACCCACCCATTCTGCACACATACTTAGCAAATGATCGCCCTCCCCCCCTCAACCCCGCCCCCAACCAGCCCCACCCTCTGGATTGCCACACCCGAGGCACAAGCCGAACCTCATATATTGTCTTCATCAAATAGAGTATTCCAGCCATCTTGGAATATTTGCCTTAAAAATATCAAATATGATCATTTACAATCAGTAATACACTGAAAATCCCTGTTTCAAAAGAGGTTTCCTTTCCTCTGAAATAAGAAGAAATGAGTAGTCAGTCTACAATAAGGAGTCACAAATTTCAACCTTATAGAACCCTACTTTTACATACTTGACATTGACTTGAATGAACATTGAAGGGACAAGACTTAGATCCACCATTCAAATTCATCTCTATCTGAACATGCGTCTGGAACAATTAGTCACCAGAGGAATCAGGCATTCAAAGACACAGAGATCCATCTGCAAGTAGGGTCAGTCTCCTTGAATCATCTGGAACTATCTGCTTAGCGTAAAAGCTCCAAAGTGAATGAGAAGCACTGTCTCCAGCTAATACAGATAACGGTCATGATGCTAATTGAGTTAGCTTAGCGAAACAGTCCTCTGTGCTGCCCCATATGGAAGCCTAATCAAGTTTTCCTTTACTCGCCTCCCCGGGGAGCTTTTCATTTGGAACTGGAAGAATTCGTGAGCTGACCCTCTGTGTTTTCTAACGAGATTGCCAGTGACACCCATTTAGTAGAATGTATCACAGATCCACCCAACTGGCGGGTCTGGAAACTACTGGAAAGGCAAAAATCTTCTGGGGCCAATGAAAGCATTACAAAATGATACATCACATAAGCAAAGAAATCAAGCCCTTCAACTTCCGTAAAATGAGAAGATGCATAAATTTAAGTTTTAAATTCTCATAGTCCTATCTTGAGTCTCCTACTGAAAGTAGCCTGCAAGTAGATCTCACTTATTCTACACCCTGTATCATTTATCTTTTTCAATCTGACCTTGAACATAGAATTTTTGACCTTCTCATTCCACTCTCTAGCCATTCTCTCACACGAGAGACATAAACCAGACAGTTGCTGCTTTATCACTTCAGCATTTCCTCTCTGGCCCCGTCTCTTCGTGTCTCCATCCTTGCACGCTAACGTCTTTGTTCTTGAAGAACATCCAGAGCTTTTGATCTGTCACAAACCTTCTCCAACCATCACCTTGTTAAAGGATAAACTGTGCCTCTTCCCTTTACAGCAAGACAGTATAACCAAAATCTAATGATGAAAAAACATTTTGAAGAGTGGCTGCAAAAATTAAAGGCAATAAAAATCTGTTTGTATTAAACACCACTATAAAAAGTAATGTGAAATACAATAAAGGCAGAATGAAATACATTATACAGAAATATTTTACAGTACACCAATTACACCAATTCTTCATGCATCTATGGTGTCTTTTGGATATTTTGGAATAATTTTTTTCCTTGATTCCCTGAAACAATACAACATTTCCCACACAAAGTGATGTGAAATCAGAAATCGTCTTTCAGATATTAAAAATATTTATAATATTTAGAAGTGTGATACCTTACCTTCTTCCAACCTGCTCAGATGTCATCAACGAAAGCAAATCTTTTCCTGGGAACTGAAGAAAGACGGGTGACCGACCTGCCGTCTCCGCCATCCTTGCCGTACGACTTCGCCCCTCCCAGGTATGGGAAGGGGACAGAAGCCTATGCTCACGGCACCACGACCAGAGGCAGAGTGTCCAGGAAGGACCCCGCTCTTCCAGCATGGATAGACGCATTCTGGTCGAAGAGAGGGGGTGCATCGCGGAGGATGACTGGAGTTGGGGTGGGGGGACTTCATGAATATTAATGCGACTTGTCCCCTCTTTCCAAAGAGACAGGGCCTTCAATTTCATTACAGAGGGAAGTAGCTTTATTCATTTAATGGCTCCATATTAGTGGCGGGACTCAAACCATTTCATTAGTTAGAGTGCTGCTATAATTTACGGGGGGAGGGGGTTATGTCTGACACAACAGTCTTCATGATGCAGTGATTCGGGGGGGCAGAAAGCCAAGATGCAGCACAAAACGCCCCCATGCCATAGACTGTGAGATGCAGACGATTGCATGGGACACCATAGACAGAGAGACACAGAAGGTCAGTCAACATGACTACAATTTACACAGGCTTTTTCACCATCATTTTGTTCCTCTTATAAGTCTACTTGTTTTTTTTCTATCCGTTTGCAGTACCTTGACGCAATAGCATGGACACCAATCTGTGTGCTGTTAGGTCTTCTGCTAGTTCAGCTCCTAATGCTTTCATTAATGTCCTCATTTGGAAAGGAATTTCACATGGTTCCGAAGCCAGCAGACACAGCAGCTCTGAAGCACTGGTGTCCTCTGTCTTTGGCTTGTCCTCTTTCCCTTTGGTGTCATGTGCAGAAGCAGCCAAGTGCAGGTAAGAAGCCCAGCCACATACTGCCTGAGGAGAAGGAACCATTTGCTCTGATCTTCTAGATACTTTACATATTCATTCTTCCGTCCATCTTCCATTCTGCTTATTCTGTACATTGTTGCAGGGACCGTCTCATAAAGCACAGGAACACCCTGGACAGGATGCCAGTCCATCACAGGACACACACACACACACACACATAGTTCACATATTCATATTTTTGAGGCGACTCTATGGGCATTTTCTATGGGCATATCCCTAATCCCAGCAACGACAACCTTTATCCCTACCCAGCCTTAGCCTTAACAATAATGTAACAAAACAAAATACAAGACTTTTGGCCGTTTTAGTTTTTTGATTGCAGTCACAGATTTTTATAAAACAAAAAAATGTTACAGGCAAAAAGTTACAGGTTTTTATCAGATTGTGGGGAAATCTGATCTCCACAATGTAATAAATACTTACACACATGCACACACGCACACACACACCTTCGTATACTGGAGGAATTAAGAGACACCGATTCACTTTCATGGATTGTTAACCATATGCTGAGACTTTGGGAGTATTCCACTACTGTTCTTCTGTGATAAACTCTGTGGAAATATTAAGACTACTTGTGCAATATGTCACATCCATTTCCAAAAGAAATTATCTGTGGCATAAAATGCTGGGGTTTGTATGTGTGTGTGTGAGAAAGAGACTATCCCTTTTAAACTATGATCTTTTGATCTTAAAAATCGGTATAACCATCAAATTCACAATACAATACAAATCGTTACACATTATTATATAATATCACAATGTTATCTGGACAGAAAATCATATGAGTCATTAATGCATATGACATATTCATGTCCAGGACAGATATATTTCCTTATGCTTTGTTTCTTAATAGAAAGCCCAGATCTACACCCTCTTCTCCCTCTAAATGTGTATCTTTGTATGTAGCGAGCAGAGGTAATGAATCTGCAGGTTGCGGAATAACCGTAAAAATCACTCACCAACTACAAGGTAACTCCACCCTCTCTGTCTAAGGAG